ATGTGATTCACGCAGCAATAAAAAGTTACTTTCTTCTATACTTTGCATGCAAGTCGTTTTACACGCCAATCAAAATATCTAGATTTACAGAGTTGGACTAAACATATTGGGGTGGTTATGATGCCCACTTTATATGGAAAGTTCTTAAGAACTTAATTTTTATATTTTCCTTTATTTTTCACCATACTATTCTAGTGAATGTTGGTGTGAAGACATTTCATAAATTAGTGATACATAAATGTACTATTATTAATATGGAACAACAGATCCAAAGGATATCAAAAACTTTTAACTATAACAAAAAATAATTTTGGAATAGGTTCTTTTTCCAAAGCTTGGCATAAATTCTTACATTAATTTTTTAGAAAATACAGGCACTAACTATCGCAAATCTACGTTAGAAGAGCACTCAAGATATTCAAAGCATGAAAAATACTGCAATGTATTGAATAATACCCGACACACTGAATTGACCATTCTGAGGAGCTCCGGTAAAGCAGGGACCGAGAGCAAAAGGTATGATCGAAACTAAGTGCGGGTCTTGTAGTTTTGCTCCCAAGAATGCTTAAAACCCCAAACCGAAACGAGTGTTTTCACAAGATCGAAAGTGAGAAAAAAACTGTCGGGAACGTTCTCAACGGGAATTATATTAGAACAACACCCTGTGGAACCAGCGTTGCCGTTTTGCTTAAATTTAAGCAAAATTGCCTCTTAAAATGTTAAACTTTTCTTCGTTTTGTTAAATATTTTTATTAAAATAGTCAAGAAGGATAATTTTCCTCAAAAATTCATAGTCAGAAGAGTTACTATTTCAATAAATTTTTCAAAATTATTTTAGGAAGACTGTCATCCAGATCCCACATAAAGTTCCAGCAAATGTTGCTCTACGCAATTCCCGACCTGTGGTCGTCGCATTTCCAAACCTCTGATCGCTTGCAATTCGGAGGCGACCTAGAACCTTGGGTCCCTTCGTTTGCGTGACAAGATCAACACGCACATTTTGGATAACATGATGCCTAACTCGTTTTTTGCATGCATTCATAAAACTAGCGAAAGGGTAGATAACTATTGTAGGAGTATGTGTTGAAAGCCTGAAATAATGAATTTGAAAGTTTTCAAATTTAGCAACTGTTAGGCCCGATTTCAGATGGCCTACTTAGATAGAGATTGTTGATTAATTTCCACTATTCCTTTTCAGATCATACATTTAGTCTGCACTTAAATAGCCAATTTTGCTATTTAAGTATGAGATATTCAACCCTGTGTTTATACCAAACAACCAAGATTGATTGGTAGGTTGTTTAATCAATCCCACCTATAACAATCACTGTTCAGCAAACAACCAAGATTGATTGGTAGGTTAATCAATCCCACCAAATCCCACCTATAACAATCACTGTTCAGCAGAAAATGTAAACAAACATGCAAATGCAACAACGATTTCAAGGAATAAGCAGC